GAATATCTCAGTGCCTCCCACAGAGTGGATGTTCCTGACCAAGGCTTTCAGTCATCCAGCAGGTCCCAGATCTGATGAGTTCATCACAAACCCTTTCCCACGCTCATTTCCTAGACTTGCTTGGCTTCTTCCACAGCACCCACACCTGTCCCCAGCCTGCACCTCCAGCCTCCAGCTCCTGCTGTCTGTTTCCTCCCTTGTTCACCAGTGGTCTCTACCTTGCCCAAATCCTGCCCAAACTGAATCCCCCCATAAAGCACTCCTGCTTTTCTGCTCCACATGTTGAGATGCTCAGTCTATCCCTCCTTCTCCACACACATTGAATCAGAATTAATAGTGGTAATCCACTATTTTACACCCAGCCTCTTCCCTGCTCTCCAGTTTCCCCCAGCACTCCCTGCCCTCCAGCTCTCTCACCCCTCTCATTTTCCCATTCCACCTCTTCCCAGACTTAGCCTGAAGCCCCTCCACAGTGTTTCATGCCCTCACTTAGCTTTCCCAAATAATCACCTCCAACAAGCCCTGTGTCCTCCCTCCCAGGGAGGCAGGACAAGCACACAGGCTGAGCAAGCCACAGCAGACAGCAGCCCTGCCTGCTGCAGATCCCATCCCCATGCAGCCAGCCCTACCAGAACAACAGGACCCACAAGCAGCTGTAAGGACCCTTACTGAGCTTACTGATCCTGAACCGCAAATTTGCTAAACTCTAGAAGCATCTCTGTGGCCCCAACTCTATCCTCAGCCCTCACAGGGCACCCAGCTCATCGATGAAATGTTATTTTGGAGCAACAAACTCAGTTTGGTCCTGTATGCCAAAATCCCTTGCCCTCCTCAGGAGCTGCAAAGTTGGGTAAGAGCAATCAATTGAAGGAATCTGCAACAAAAAGGCAGTTAAGACTTGCAGAGGTGCCCATGGGAGCATATGGGGAGAGATGGGAAGGAATGCACTGGCCTGTACCAAGTTTACAAAGCAAGCTTAACACAAACAGACAAAAAGAAAGTATCAGTACTGAGGATGGCATAAAATCCAACTGTGTCAGCATTCAGCTTGTTAATTATCCTCCGGATCACCTCCCCTCTAAATTCACTGCCGGAGCAGCTCAAGTTGAATCTAAATAAATATGAGAATCAGAGAGAGACTCGGAAGTCAATACCGTGAACTAACTCCTTCTACAAATGGATTTTCATTACCGCAGGGGCAGATGCCAGTGTCCAGAAAGAACCACAACAAGGGCAATTATTTGCTGGCAGTGCTCTGTATTCACAGGAGGTGCTTTGCCTGGTTTGCAGCAGTAAAGGGCAGCTGGGCTATCGATCAGGTCAGACGCCTGTCGCTCCTGGAGGCATCAGAGGTTTTAACAAGCCGCACAAAGGCAGTATTGGAATTGTCACAAGTTCACGCTTGGTTTGTAAGGCAATTTGAAGCAGATTTATTGACCCCCTTTCCCTTTCCTGCCATCCGCAGGGTATGGAGGAAAGCAGAGCTGTCCAGCTCAACACCTCGTCAGGACCTGCCAGAAGAGGTCCTTGACAGGAGCCTCTGGAAGGGGGAAGAGCTGAGTGCTGATGCCTGCAAAGATTTCAGTAGGAAAAGCATCCAGCTGGGAGCCCAGGTGACTGCAAAAGGCTACTCATAAATGTACTACTTCTGTCCTTCTCCAGCAAAGCCCTTTCCCAGCTGTTTCTATACCCACCGTGGGCAGGATCCAAATGAGAGCACAGGGAACTCTCTTCAGGTTTTCCTCTCCCATGCTCTGAAGCCTTTGGTTTCCTCCTCTGACACAAGCAGAGGTAATAATAGGAGCAAGACAGGACAAGGGGTTACAACAGGAAAGCACAGGGGCAGCCCACAAAATGCAGCTCCTGCCTGCCGCTGTGTGATGGGGGGAGACTGGAGTAGGTCCCACAGCCTGACTCTGCCCCCACACTGGCCAGTCACAGCATCCTCATTTCCCAGCACTGAGAGCAGAACCTTCCTCCAATTTCCACTGTAGATTAATGCCAATAAGCTCTGAGAATCTTAAACTTCTCCAAGCAGAGACCTTACAGGTCACATAAAAATAGAATTCAGATCACACCTAATCAGGGCACCAGCCACCTGAGCAGTCCTTCAGGGTGATAACAGCCCTTCAGGGGGATCACTTTTTTAAAAAAAAAAATAATAATAATAATATTATTTTACAGTGCACAATAAGTGGATTTTTTTAAGACTTGACAATATACAAATATAACAAGAAATACAAAAATTAAAGAGAAATTAGAGTCCTTGTGAGCAGCAAAAGAGCTTTCATCTTTCAGCACTTGCTAAGAACTTTCAGTTTCCCAATCTAGTGCCTTCTTGACAAAGCTGCTTGGGAAGAAACCCTCCTTAAGCAGTTACCCTTGCCAATTAGAGGTCACAGTAACACGCTGGCTAATGCCTCCTAACTCAACTTGTGGAAGATGACAGCTTTTTGGAATATTGCCCGAGGTAGCCTTCAGCCAGTGCCAGTACACTCCCTGACCTATAAACCAGGCATTTGAACGATGAACAGCAGGGACTGAATAAAAAGAGGCACGAGTATGAGTGGAGAATTAAATAATTAATAAAGTGTTAAGTAAAATGGCAGAGGGAGGTGAGGTGGCATCTAGCAAGAGGGGAAACGAGGAGCAAGTGCCCCTGTGATTGCATTTAAAATTCAAATCATCCTGCAACTGAGCTATCACATGTGGCCACAGCCTAAGTAGGCAGGAACAGCAGTAGGGGAGGTTAAGGTGTAATTACTTGGGCTACGATTTTCAGAATTTGATTATCAGAATTAAGGAGCATTACAAAATTTCCAAGGGCTACTCAGAGCAAGAAAAGACATCTTAAAATCATATCTTTCCAGCCAAGGTGTTTGTCTAGGATTTGATTCACTTCTCCAATGTGAGTCAAAGAATAAGCATAGACAAACAGGTCTAGATAAAAATAGGGAACAAATTGAGTGCACACCCAGAGATGAGAGAAGTTTACACTTCAGCTATTTGCAAAAAGCCCGTCCATTTCTCATTCCCAGTTTCTTTTCAGCTTTATCCTCCTGTCTCCGCAGCACAGACAAGACCAAGAGAAGAGCTAGGGAGATAGAAATCAAACTATTCCTGGCCACAGCTAGTCTTGGTGAGGGTTTTGTCCTTCTCGCTTGGTCTAAAGGATCAGTGGTTCCCTGAATCTTTAGAGATGAAATAGGAAACACATGCTTCCACTCAGACACTTCTTCCCAACCTGAGCTTGGAGCTGCCACAAGAAGGATGGTTTAGCCTATCACAGACCATGGAGTCTATAGCAGTAGCATAAAAGGGCCACAAAAACCTTACAGGTATTGGGCTGCCCCCCACTAGCTCCAGCACAGGGAACCAGGGATACCCCAGCCATGTGCAGCATCGGAGCCCCCAGCTGCCAAGGGGACCACAGGACAGCACAGGTCAGTACTCCTTTAAGTTACAGCCTGGATGCACAGCATCCAAGAAGGTGGAGAAGGTTATTTCTGTTCTGTCCTCACAAGGTTATCTCAAAAATGTCTTAGGAACACAGATACTTTGGAAAGCCCTACCCTATAGCACCTGTATTACCCAGACAGATTCTGAGGTACAACTGTGCAATGGATCTGACACCTGCAGTTTTTTACATTACCTCCAGTGCTATCTGGTAACTCCAAGGTGCCTTAAGTAAAGGAGACCAGGTGAGAAACAGCAGCCAGAGATAAGGAGTGCTACACAACAGTCATGAACCCTCAAAACACAGCTAGAGGAATTCCCACAATTCAGGGCAACTTCAAGCTAGGAAAAACTAGAACAGATCCTTAGGAAAAAAAAAAGTCACAGGTGGATTTTTTTAACCCTTAAATATATCAACTGTTAAAGATTCAATACATCCTTGAGGGATGTTTTTCTGGAAGCATATGAAGGAGTTGCTCTACTTTGCACAGGGAGGATGGTCACTGGTGTAAGAGATCCACACTCATACAGTCAACCTCCAGCGCAGTTTTGTAGCCCATAACTTCCCCTTATGAAACAAAACATCTGGAAACAACTTCTCCTGAGAACTTGACTGATTTGCTTTCTCCCACTGTATACCAGGCTCCCAAGGTAAGAGCAGTCAATAGTGACTACAGGAATTGGGTTTAAGCAATAAGCAAGTATACGCCCCAATGATCCATAAGCAGAACATGCATGATTTGCTAGGCTAAGCACTAAATTAATATAGATCTGATCAGCTGCACTGGTAAGTCGGTGTGGAATACAAGGATGTCCAGCTAAGTTTAGCATCTCTAGGTAGCTCTGTGCAGCTTTGCTGTAGAAGAATAGAGCATACAGCATATCTCCCACCAAGCAGCAGGACTAGCTCCAGTGCTTCTTCCAATAAGTACCCCACTTCCCTTCCTACAGCTTCAGCAGTAATTACATCACACAGACTGAATTTACCTCTCCTTGAGTTCTTTGCCAAAGAGAAATTGGTCAGCAGTAATCAGAGAGCATCCAGTGGAGAGGTGACACCTGCAATTTATTTCAGGTCTCAACAATAGCTCAGCCTTACAACTCAGGTTGGCTTATTGTTTTGCCTCCAGGACAAGCCAGTTGCTATTTAAGGAGTGCTGGCCAGAGAGCTGTCTAATGGTCTCTCACTGAATCTAGAGCTGAAGCTGCACTGTATCAGAAGTTCACATTGCATCAGTGGATTAACTGAAGCCAGACCTCAGGGATCACACGGTCCTGCCACAGTACAGCACTAAGTCACCACACATAGTGGTCGCAGCAACAGCTATTTGTACTCAGGAGAAAAAGAGTAGAAGACCATAGCTGTGGTTCCCTCCATAAACCTCAACACCACTGCTTAGAGGCTTTAAAGCAAGTTTTCAGAATACAGATCCACCCATTTTTTCCAGCTAAGCAGTGATATTGCCCTTGAAGATGGGAAAATTATAGCTCACATCTGATAAGCAGCACTCACAGCGCCACTCCAGAAAAGAAGAGAAAGTAAGCATTTTTGCATGCAGTAGTTTTATTTTAAACAGTTATGCTAGGTCATATACATACAGCTTCTAGGAAGAGTTCTTTACATTGCATACTGTGTTGAAGGATTAGGACCAACAGCAGATATCGCGTGAGTACAGGCATTACATGGATACACCATGGAAGGCCATGCCTTAGACAGCTTGCTAGGGAGGTGGGGGCACTGGAGACCTTCAGGTCTGTATCTTGAGCCAATGCTCAGCCACCAGCACCAAGGAGCAGTCCTACTAACCTCCATTACCCCCTGAAATTTATTACCCAATGATTATTCAGTGTGACAGCTCCACCTTCAGCTGGGAAGTAGGGTAAAGCTATCAAAGTCCAAGCTCCCAGGCCTGCGCTCAGGGCCTTGCCTTTCACAGGGAGGAGGCAGGAGCTTCATGAGCCCCTGCTTCCTCCTGCAAGGCCTCCTCCTGCAGAGTTTCCTCCTCCTGAGGAGAGAAGGGTCCCACCAGCCAGGACGGAGGCCGGTTGTCCTTCAGGTAGTCCAGCAGCTCCTCCATGTACTCCTGGATCACAGCCAGCTTCCCCTGGCTCTGGGCCAAGACACTGCTGGACAAGTCCTGGAAGGAATTCGCTGCTGAGAAAAAAGCACGAAGCTCTTCTATGGTATTAAGGGATTGTTTCACCTTATCCTGAAGGCTTGAGGGAAGGCCTCGGATTGCAGACACAATTTTACAACAGGTGATTTGCAGCTGCTGCGTGATGCTGCGTGCCATCAGCAGGGCCAGAGACTCCATCTCCTGGGAAGAGGCAGAAAGGACAAGTTCAGGAGTACATTAATTAAAGAAAAGTAAAAGGGCTTGGGGCTTCTCCTTGCTCTCCCCCAGGGAGATACCTCTGGCTCTGCAGAGCTGGCAGATCTGCTGTCTTCAGGAAGCTTCCTAGTCCAGTCCAGCCACATCTGGCACAGTTTCTCCTGCCCTTCCTGAAGCTTTTTATTAAAGCCTTGCTTAAACACCTCAATCTGTGCCGGGGAAAAAAAAAAGTTGGTGTCAGGACACATCAGCTGAGGCCAAGACAACCTCTTGGTCACCTCCTGGCCTCCAACAGGGAGGCCAGGCTCTGCCTACCAGTTCAATGATGGAGTGAAGCTGTCCAAGAGCCTCCTGCATGCCCTGCCAGATCCGCTTCATTTTATCTGAAGAGTGCAGGTAGGCAAACTGGCGAAGTTCATCAGAGAGAGAGCCCAACCGCACAAAGTACCTCCTCGTCTCCTGCTGCTGCTCCACAGACATTATACCTGCATCCTCCTCAGATGCTGCCAGTTTGGCTGGGGAAAGAGACAGTACCTGTAAGCAGCTGATCAAAGGTTCTTACCAAGCAGAGCTAAGAAGAGGCAGGAAACCTTTGACTAGGAGTCAGGAAGCCTCCAGCATGGCACTTTCCACTAGCCACATTCCAAAGGAATGGGGCTGACCACCCTCCAATTGATGATCCCATTACAGATAGTCACATGTTGTTTCCTGACCTAATTCCTCATTTCCAATGGGGAGAGAGTTGTCTTCTTCTGTTCTCCACAGCACAGCTTCTGCTCTGCTCACAGCCATCTGGCCCACTCTGGAGTCCATGACCATCCCCACACTGCTGGTTACTGCAGATCTGGCAGCTTCCACACTGCTGTGAATAGCGCCCTTAGTTGCATCTATCACCTCTGTCACTCTGCTGCTCACAGCATCCTTTGCCTCTGCCACTGTGGATGACACCAGCTCTTTTGTTTCAGAGATAACCTGCAGAAGAGATTTATGTCAGGTAAGGGCTTAGGGTGAACTGCACTAGAAGGACTCTGCATAGTGTCTGCTTATTACGTGCTCCTATAGGAGCTTGTACTGTGCACCTAAGGAGTATTTCATTCCTTCTGGGAAGCTACCTCACTCCCAAGCTTAGAAAGCCTGCAATGACCAGCCTGGGATGCACTACCTTTAAGTCTCACCTGGTCCACTGGCTTTTGAAGGAGTGGGACCTTTTCCCCTAGTTTATCCAAACCTTTGGAGGCATACTCATTTGCTGCAGCAACTGTTTATAAAGAAAAAAAGTGTTAAAGCTTGTGGGATAGAACAGCAGGAAAAACAAGTCCTATCTTCCAGAGAACAGTGCTCTGCAAGGAGCCTGGATCAAAGTCTCCACCCAGGCCACCAGGCCAAGCATACTCTGCTATAAGCTGAATTTGTAGAGCAGCTTCTTAGTCTCCACATAGATCTATTCACTTTGATAGCAGCCAATTTTTACTTGCATGGACATAGCCATCTACACTTATTTCCCTCCTGTAGGTCCTTGAATAAAGTTCAAGTGTAGTCCTTATCTCTATAAAGGAAAAAAAAATGCCCCAAACCCCAGTATGCCAAGGATCCAGGTTCAAGTAGTAACCAACAGGACAGGGATACCCACTCTGGGCTTAAAGTGAACAAGAAGAGGCCTTTTCCTGCAGCCTCTGCAAAGGTACAAGAATCAAGCTATGAGCAACTGATATACAAGACTTTGGACCTGGCAAGATCAGCTTTAGAGCAGCCAAACTCAATACTCATCTTCCAGGGAAAACATCCCTCTAGCACATTACCCAGAGTAAGACTCAGCTTTTTGACATTATGAATAAGTCTGGAGTTGTCCTTTTACCATGGAGGAGAGGTGCATTCCCACACCCTAGGGCTCCTTTCAGAGCTGGAAGGAGAGAGAGACCTTCAGAAGCAGCTGCAGACCTCCTTTTCCCCAGGGAGTTACCTTGAGGCTCCAGTGTAGTCAGAAGTGGCTGCACACAGCTGGCTGTGGCTTCAGTCATGCTCTTCACTCCTTTCTCTGCTGCATCACAGACAGACCTGATGTAGGGGTGGCTCTCCTTAGTGGAGGCATAAGCGGTAGAAACCATGTCACAGGCAGAGCTGACAAAGGTCAGGTTAGCCATCTGATTTACTGCATCCTAAAAGGGGAAAGTAGTCATGAAGCTTGCAAACATGACACTGAGCACGCAACTATGTGGTGTTGCACCAAAATTTCAACTTGCCTGTTCAAGTGACCTGCCATAAGGTAAGCAAGACAAGCCTTGCTTAGACATTTGCCTTAAAGTCCACAAACAGACTTTAAAACACCTGTGGAGCACTGACACTTATATCCAGTCCATCATGGAGAGGTTTTCCTCCAGTGCAACACTACCCAAGGGACTTCTGAGTCCGCAGACAACCTCAGTGCTTCTGGACACATATCCAGTTCTAGTTCATTTTGTAGAGCTATTTAACAACCCAGCACCCCAAAGAGAGCTTCACCTAAACAGGATCAGGTAGGTTGTAAACAAACAGGCTTTACACTGCTCTGTAACAAGTATGAAGTTGGTCATGGGGAACAAGGCAAGCACAGGGGGTTCCTGGGCTGCTGGAACATGGGAACCTTTCCACAGGAGCATTGCCAGTAGCAAGCCAGGCTCTTGGCTACAGTATGAGATGCACATCTCTCCTAGCCAAGGACCAGGTCATTTCACTTAGCCTAAGAGGTTATCCCAAGGGCCCTCATGTGTACCTGGGGCTGTGCTACCACCCCTATTTGCAGAGGGGCTGTAAGGCACAGACTGAGCAGAGATGTTCCTTCCTCCACACAGGCAGAGCCTCAGCCACAGCAGGGCCACCTGCTAATACATGCACCCCAGAGCTGCCACTCATTTCATCTCACAGGGCACCTACCTGTTGCTCCTCTTCCTTCATCTCTGGGGAGCTCTTCACAGCATCCTCTTTATCAGGCATAGCAGAGGCCATCGCAGCTGCAATGCAAGTAGTACCATGGTTTAAGAGAAATTCAACCAAACCGCTAGCGAGCCTCCAGAGGAGCTCCCCTTCCTAACATAAATCAGGAGACTTTTTTTTTTTAGTGTCCATTAAGGACAGATCCCAGAATGAGTCTCACAGAAACAAAGTTGTGTTTTTGCAATAGAAGGTGTTTTTGCAGTGGAAAATTCCACTAACCTTGTACATTCAGAAGTGATTGTGCAGGCACAACAGTAGCATAGCAGCAGGGAGTATGTTAAGAAGATAAGGTCCTGCTGTCCCAAAACAAGGAGGATAGCTAAGAAAAACAGGATGAGCAGTGTGAAATCAGTAAAAAACAAGTCATGGGCCCTCAAATCACGAGAGAAGGGAAAAAAAGGAAAAGGAGAAATTAACAGTTGGTCAAATAGAGTTGGACACATATGGTATAGTAGTCAATGTGAAGTAGGTTGTGAACCTGTAGCACTCAGCCAGTGAGGAACAGGGAAGGAATCAAGCATCAGGTAGTAGAGAATATAAGGTTTTGGTATACTTTTAACATGCACCCCTGCTTGCAGGATGCCTGCCATTGCAATCCAATTGCAAATAAGAATAGCTTCAAAGACAACCCTGTCTGAGAAATTGAGATACTTCTCACAGTCCCCTCCCCTTATAGGGGAAAAGGGTCTAGGGAATTTCCAAAGCCAGCTAATGTTTAGGTTTCACATTGCCCTCATTCCCCTTATATAAAGGAAGTCTTTCCCCACTCTAGATCTCTGTTAGAGAGAGATCATATCGATAGTGAGCACTCTGCTTAGGAGAGGGATCTGGTACCTCTTTCCTCCCCACCAAGGCTTAGAGAAGCTCTTGTACTAGGAGAGGGGTAGTAACAGCAGATTTAGAGGAAAAAGGAAAAAGAAGAGACACATTCAGAAGTCTGCTCTCCTGCCAAAAGCACAGCCCAACCCCACCCAGCTTTCTACACAACACCAGCACAGGCCATACCTAACCCTTCAGCCAGGATCACAGGCAATCATGTATTAATTAAGACTCATTTCACTCTGTGATTAAACAATGTAAGACACATTTAAACATGAACCTGGAGGTCACAAAACAGGTACAGCCTCACCAACCAAAAGCTTTCCCTCCTGTAGCAAACAGTACCTTTTTCCCCCCTGTTGAAGGTAAGCAGATAACCAGCAAGAAGGAACCAGGCACCACACCATGCTGCCCCCCTGCTCCCCGCCTTTATATGCTGGATGGGGAAGTGAGCTGGGGAGGGACACGAGTGACTGACAGCTCTGGGAAGCAGCAGAAAGGACCCAGGGTCTGTCCTGGCCTATGAGAAGTGGAAAAGGGCAGTGATGGGTCCTGCAGCGTCTCATTAATTGCTCTGTAATCAAGCAGGTACACCTGGCTCTGGGCAGGGCAGCTTCTTTCAGAGGTTCCTGCAAATGGAGAGAAGCAAGGTTGGTGTAGCCTTCTATGGCCTTACATGAGCTTCCACAACTTTTTGTGATCATCTTCTAAGATCTTGCATCAGGTCACGGGTACAGTCTGGAAATAGAAATTTCTTGCCTTTTTTTTTTTTTTTTTAATTGGTAAATAATAACCAGAAAAGAAAAGGAAATAAAGAGATCTAGAGAAGGGCTTCACTCCTAATGTGGGATTCCTATTGCTTTTATCTGACAGTGCTTGAAGTTTAATGCTGGAAATACTGAAAAAAGGGAAACACCCCTCCCCTTTTAAAAAGGTAGAAAGGGGGTCCTGGGGAACTACAGACCAGTGAGCCTCACCTCTGTGCCTGGCAAGATCACGGAAAAGATCCTCCTGGAAGCAATGTCAAGTCGCATGCAAGACAAGGAGGTGATCCAAGACAGCCAGCACAGCTTCACCAAGGGCAAATCGTGCCTGACCAACTGGTGGCTTTCTATGGTGGAGTGACTGCAGCAGTTGACAGACGAAAACCAACCAATGTCATCTACCTGGACTTCTACAAGGCCTTTGATATGGTCCCACATGACATCCTGGCCTCCAAATTGGAGAGAGATGGGTTTGATGGGTGGGACATTCAGTGGGTAAGGAATTGAAGGAAATTGAAGGAAATGAACGTCATTACAGCCTTTCAGTACTTGAAGGAGGCATATAAAAAAAGATGGAGAGCAACTCTGCTCAATCAGATATCGACAGGAGGAGGTGGAATGGTTTTAAACTAAAAGAAGGGAGTTTTAGATTAGTGGTTAGAAGGAAATTTTTCACCCAGTTGATGGTGAGGCACTGGAACAGGTTTCCCAGAGAGGTTGTGGATGCCCCGTCTCTGGAGGTGTTCAAGACCAGGGTAGATGAGGCCCTGAGCAACCTGATCTAGTGGGTGGCATCGCCATGGCAGGGGTGTTGGAACTGGATGATCTTGGTGATCCCTGCCAAACTGAGCCATTCTATGATTCTAGGGGAAACTGGGGCCCCATGATCCATCCCCGTCAGCAGGGCTTCACCTGTTTGCAGAAAGACTCCTCGGTCTCTCACCAGGACCAGGAAGGTGGTGGTGGGCATGGTCAGCAGGAAGGGGCAGCCAGCAGCATCTGGCTCCTGCAATGATTCTTCCTGTATGCAATCTAGTGGCTTTAAAATACAGAAATACTAACATCAGCTGAGAAGCTCGTACTGCAGCTGCTTGTAGTCCCATCAGAAACCTCTGAGATGGGTGGGATTTTCATCCCACCAAGAGTCACTGCTTTACTTATGCATCATCCAACGTTTCAGCAAGCCTGCTAATGAGTGGGAGTTCAGCACTGAACCTTTGCAGGATCTGCGTAGATGAGAGTTTGCTTTGTTTGCAGGAGAACACGTAAAACATTTGTGTTACAACCTGCATCCAGCACCCCAGCTCCTCAAATACAGCATCTGTCATTGCTTTCATTTAAAAATAAAATCAAAAGAAGAGAAAAAAAAAAAAAAAGCTGTGAGTAGGTGGCACCAGTGAAACAGCAACATGGATCTGCTCCGTAGTTACCTGCCAGAGGAACGTGGATCCCAGCAGCAGAGCAGACAGGACTGGCACCCACCCACACAGTGTGAGCTAAATTGCTTTCCTCTCTTCCCAGTATTCATGAGCTCACTCCCAGCCAGCATCCATCAGGATACCATGGCAGCTACAGAGCCCTTTCCCTGTGCAGGGTGCTGCCTGTCCTCTGCTCCCACAGCAGAGCAAGTGCCCCAAGGCAGCCTGTGCCCCACACCAACCTTTGCAACCCCTGTTTCCCATGTGCACAAGGGCAGATGATGCACAGAGCCCTGGAAGCCCCTCCAGAGCCTCAGCCAGGGCTTTAGAGGCTTCAACCGGTGCTTAACATTTGTGGTGTGGTCCCTCCAGGAGCCAGTCCTGGTACCGGGAGCTGAAATTGAGAAATACAGCAGCCCTGTTTGCCCACTGGGGCAAGTTTCTGCCCACATACACCAAGCTAATGGAAAGGAGACAGAACAGCAAGGGTGGCTGCAAATGATGCTTGTGTTGGCAGTCAGCAAACACAGATCCTTTTGGCAGGAGCTGAGCAGGACTCCTGCTTGCTGCCGGAGCCAGATAAAGATGGTGGTGGATTGGTACGTGGCAGAACAGTGCGGAGCAGGAAATGCGAAACCTGGGAGGAAAACAGACTTTAGCCAGTCCTTTATAAACACAAAACAGCCACCCTGGTAAATCCTGATGGCTCAAATACAACAGAGATAATAACAAATCCTTCCTAGTGAGACGATTAAAAATAAAACTGAGATTTCTATAACCTCTCTCCTTTGTCTGTGAAGCTTAAGAGGGAACCCAGGCAGTCCTTAGCCTGTCCTGACCCTACCCACGCCCCAAGTGCATAGCGCGGTGGCAGGGATGTGGTGAGTGTGCAAGGATGAAGGGAGTGTGCCAACATGGTGCAGGATGGCCTAACCACAGGGACACAGGGGCAGCTCTAGGAAGAGCAGGGGTGAGCACACCTTGCGGTGTGCCTGGTGGTGGAAAGTGCCCTGGGCCTGCAGAAGGAATTGAATACAGATCTACCATAACTGCAGTAACGCGTTTGCACCAGCAGTTATATATCACTACATGTATTTTTGCATTAAGGTAGGGCTACCAGGTTTTGAGAACATACAGGTGCTGAATATCCACTGGGGGAAAAAAAAAAAAAAAAAGTGACTTGGAAAAAATGTTTGGCTGGATGAGCTCAAACAGACACTGACTTGGTTGCTTTTGTTTTGGCAGCAGTGGTTATAGGCATGTGTAAAAGCAGAGTTTTGTGTTCCCATATAACATTATTGATGAGCTATAAGATCTGAGGTTATTTCAAGGGCTCTTCATTTCTACCTAAGTCTTTCTGATGTGCCACTCTTCAGGTCTGGGTGCATGTGCCCTTGTACCTCTTATCTACAGTTCTCCTTATGTCTCTGGATGGTGAAGATTATCAGTAATTTAGCCACTGTGATGATGGACCCTAAGCACCGTACATTCTAATTTTTATACTAAATAAAAGGCATTACCTGTGGTTTCTCGAGTGCATTTAGTGGCAAACTCAGTGTTAGAAAAAGGAAAAGCCACTTCTGAATGGCCCTAGCTGCACAAAGATCACAATGTCATGCAGTTTTCTGGATGATGAGCTTGGGCAGGGCTGTAAAATAAGCCTGTTGTAACAGCCAGGAAACTGCTGGCAAGTGAGATGCTGGAAGCTAGTCCAGCAAACCTGGAGGTTCTGACATGCCGTCTTTCCTCAGAGCTCACTATCACCTTAACAGAGAAAATGAGAGCACTCAGAGTCTAAATTCCTGTTCTGCTCCCTTGTAACTTTTCTGAAAAAGAGGAAAAACTCCTCCGAGTACTCGCTGTCCTCCAGATGAGCCCTGAAGTGGTGGTGAACATCATGTCAGAGGATCCAGCTTCCCAGAACACCTCGAGGAAGCAGTGTTCGTGCCATTTGCCTTTGAGTTTATTTTTCACTTTCTGCCTTGGGACAAGACTTACATTACAGCATTGCTGAAGCACATCACTCCCTGCACAGCAGTGGCTGCCAGCACCCACCTCTCACTGCTCCCTGTGTCCCCAGCCTTGAGTGCCCTGCGTGCAGCAGTGGCATTACGCCAGCCGTAGTGCCCAGGCTGGGTCTTGTGGTGTTGAGGAGTCAGACGAGTGGGTCCTCCACCTGACAGAACAACAGGCAAGGCTTTGGGTGATCAGAGTGGTAATGAGGTTTGTTCCCTCATATGGGGACAGAAAGACCTTTGGTGTCTTGAGCCGTTCATGCAGCTTCTCTGCCTGAGCTGAGTCTCCCAAGGATGTTTACAAGAGAAACAGCATTTTGAACTTGTGGAAATGGATGCTACCACTACTTCCAACTTTTTTTTTCCAGGAGATGAGCTCTGTCTGTCACAAGAGCCTTAGGAGGGCCCCAGACTCTCTCGGGAGGAAGGCAGCTCCTGCTGTCCCACACCTGTCAGGTGCACTGAGGCACTGAGGATGGATCCCGAAACCCTGCAGGTTTCCCAGAGAAAGAAGACATTCATGTTTCTGTTCCTGTGCTGAGCTTGAGCTGCTTTACAGAAGAAAGCCAGGCAGCTGGACCTCTCTCTTAGCTCCCTGTAGCTGCCTTCAGAGGAGAGAAGAACTGAGTACAAAGAGGCAGATGCATCAACCTGACTCAACCCCTGAACTCCTGCAGAAAGCCCTTCAAAACCATCCTGACTTCCAAGAACCTGCTGCTGTCCCCTCTCATGCCCTCTCTTTACTACTTAGTTCATTTTGAAAGCAGGATGTTTTGCTAAGCCCTCTTGGCAGAAGAAAAGCTCCTACAGAGGCAGAAAACAGTGAGCAATTTCATGTTACAGGTCTGCTGGCTTTAGGACCAAAAGGCATGACCTAGTGCTTTGTGTCACGGGGGAGCAGAGACTTTCTGCTTGGAAATTGCTGCTCAGATCCTTTGTAGTATTGACTGAGCCTTTCTGTCTTGGAAGAGTGTAACGAGTGTGATATCTGTCTGCCTGCTGCAGCTGGGTTTCAGCAGCTGGGTAGTTACGGTGACAACTGCCCAACATTGCCTTCCTTGGCCAAAGCTGCAGAGCACCTGTGCCTGTAAGGAAGATAAAGATGAACATTCAACATCAGAAATGGGGGGGACAGAAAAGGGGGACAAGGAAAGGCAGCCAGAATGGGCATTGCCATTACCTTTTTCTCATAGGCAGCACAATTCATGCAGAGAAACTCAGAAAGCTGGTGGTGTTGAACTGGAGCATCCTCTGCTGCTTGGGCACTGTGAGATATGTTCATCTGATTCGTGTCAGTATGGAACAATGCTAGGGCCGCGTGGTATGATGAATGTGACCTTCTGTTTTACATACCCTTGTATAACCACAAGTCTAAGAAAAACAGAGTGGTTAATGTATATAGTTCTTGTATCTTGCAAAGGAATGTTTTAGCAATTCGTGTCAATAGAGAGCTTGAAGGGAAATGCATTTGTAGACTTTTCCTTGGAGTCTCTGATATCTGGGGGAGGTTCAGAATAACTGCTAGCTATTATGACTATTGCATGGGACACTATGCAAGTCTCTGCTATCCAGCCAGGAGATTAAGGAGACGGGGAGAGCTGGAAAACAACTAAAAGACACAGCTTGCAGGGGATGTTGCACAAGTCTCTGACATACAGCCAAGTTGGACAAAGGAGAAGGACAAGAGGGAGGAAGACTCTGAGCCTTCAGCACGAGAGACCCCCAGAGACCCCCAGAGAGACCACCAGAGACTGATACGCATGCTCCAGTAGGAGGGTTTGGATTCCGGAAACTAATTATAATAACCCTGTTTTTTTTAGAAGTAGTAATGAATATGTATTGGCCTAGGAGCATAAAAATCAGCTACTTGATGTAATTGGTGTGCATCTTGGTGGAGCAGAGACTCCCGGTGCACCCAGCGCTGTTTGCTTACCTCTATTCCTTTAATAAATTGTAAACTTTGTTTATAGTCCTATTTTGAAGACTGAGCCATTTATTACAGGCACTGATGGTCAGGGTAGAAAAAAATGTTATTTCTGTTTTTGTTGTGTGTTTTTTTTTTCTGTTTTTTTTTTTGTTTTGTTTTGTTTTGTTTTGTTTTTTCCCTTTACTTGGTGGTACTCATCTGAACTACACTGGATAAGGAAGAAAAATATGTTTGTCTGTAGGCTGGCAGTGAACTCCTCAGCACTGCAGGTGAGTGCTCAGCTTTTCCCCTCTGCAGCTGAAATCTTCTTGGGGTGTGTGTGCACGTGGCTGGCAGATTGGTCTTTCTTCCTATCACTGCTGAGACCACCTATAGCTGGGGAAAGACACTGCCCAGGGTGGGGATGGGGAGGGCACAGGTGCTGCTGTGCTGAGCAGGCAGAAGTCTTGTGCAGAAGTTATGGAGGGCAACTGGACCCAAAGGTCTGCCCCAGCCCATGATGGAGAAATCAAAGAACCAGATCAGCTAATCTAAGAGGGCTACAGCTAACTGGTTTTTCTGTCTTTGTATCACATCTCGAGCATTTGCACTAGATGCAAATGAATGCCTGTTTCTGTGCTCATTATTGCACTGATGTTTGAAGACCACGGAGCTATTGTGGAAAAGAAGGGCTCCAGCCAAGCCAGAGGAGAGCCTGTGGATGATGTATCCATGGCGACAGCTCCTTCCACTTTCAGAGCTCTGACACCAATTAGAGGCAGTCTTTCCACTGCTAATGATGGGAATGGGGAGGCCGGAGCACTGGGCTGGACCTGGAGGCTGTGGGACTCCGTCCCCAGTTCTACCAGCTGCCTGCGGGTGGCTTTCTCTGAGGCGGCTCAGCTCCGTGTCTCTCCTTCCCCATCTTTAGAATGGGGATCATGATACCGGCCTTTTTCTGCAAAATGCTTTGTGATCTGCTGATGAAAAGTGCCAGGTGAGAGCTACGATAACTGATAATAAACTCCACACTTACCATTAGAAAGGCAGTTCCTGCTCAAGGCAAGGCACAGTCCCCTTAACCAGAGGCACAGTTTCTCAGTGCAGATCTGGCCAGCTACAGCTGCCAAGCCCATTGCTTTGCTTCACAGAATCATAGAACGGCCTCAAGGATCATCCAGCTCCAACCCCCCTGCCATAGGCAGGGACACATCAGGTTGCCCAGGGCCTCATCTAACCTGGCCTTGAACACCCCCAGGGATGGGACGTCCCTGTCTTCTCTGGGCAGACTGTGCCAGGGCCTCACCACCCTCTGAGTGAAGAATTTCCTCCTAACCTCTCATCTAAATCTCCCCTCTTTTAGTTTAAAACCATTCCACCTTCTCCTGTCAATATCTGAGCAAAGAGTTGCTCTCCATCCTTTTTATAAGCCTCTTTCAAGTACTGACAAGCTGCACTGAGGTCCCCCTGAAGCCTTCTCCTCTCCAGGCTGACCAGCCCCAGCTCTCTCAGCCTTCCTTCCAGCCCTCTGGGCATCTTCGTGGCCTCCTCTGGCCCCGCTCCAACAGCCCCACATCCTCCTGGTGCTGGGGGCCCAGAGCTGGACACAGGGCATAGGAGACCCCAGAAGCCCCTCCAACAGCTGGAAGGCTGATGCTTGGCTAGCTGTGCTTGGTTGCAGTGTGGGAGATAGACCTGGAGGATTTGCAAGATGCATGTGTGCAGAGGGGGTTATTGCCCTTCTGCAATGCAAACCAGGAGGTCTGAGCACACTAAATACACTTGCTTAGATTGTACTGGCTTATGTCATCTGTATAACACATGATCAGCAGGTAACTTAGGGCCAGCATTTGAAGAGAACACCCACTGAACTGTCAGAAAAATGCTTCAGAAATTTCATTTGAAGTCCCTGCCATGTAAAGAAACTGGAACTTGAAATATGTACAGAGCACAAAAGAATAGGCTCTAGCAGCAGATTTAAAAAATCAGTGCTTTAGGCAATCTCCTTAGCAGCTTGTTAGATGTTTTATAAGTGTCCTTCCCAGCTCCAGAAGAAATAATACTACTAATGATCATGTCAGATGCAAAATAATTTCACAGCCTTTTTTTCTCTGTGAGCTTTCCAACTTCAATAAATCAAGTTCCCTTCTATGCAGATGGAGAAATCCAAAACCCATAGTACGGAAGGGAAGGGAAGGGAAGGGAAGGGAAGGGAAGGGAAGGGAAGGGAAGGGAAGGGAAGGGAAGGGAAGGGAAGGGAAGGGAAGGGAAGGGAAGGGAAGGGAAGGGAAGGGAAGGGAAGGGAAGGGAAGGGAAGGGAAGGGAAGGGAAGGGAAGGGAAGGGAAGGGAAGGGAAGGGAAGGGAAGGGAAGGGAAGGGAAGGGAAGGGAAGGGTCATCTTTTTCTGCATTAGTTCCAGCCAATACTTTGCATTCGCAAGTCAGGCACTTGCTGAGCTGTGATACCTTCTCATTAGCACAGCTGAGTGCTCTCTGGGATCCCATGAGGAGGTGTTAGACTTAAGCATGGAGAAACATAATAAGGGAATCTGCACGTGCCTGCATGTTTCACTGCTCTGCAAAGTGATCTGGTGGCCCCAGCAGAGGTGGTGAGCATCCAGGTTTCCCCAGGGTTGGGGTGGTGAGATTGTCGTGCTGTGGCGTGATATTCCTTCAGGCTGAGAGGTGATTTACATGCCTGATGCACCGGGGGAGGCTTTCAGCCAGTGAACTGTGGGAACTATTATTCTCCTTGCAAATAGCCCTGTGCTCAGGATGATTGTCCTTGAGGACATAACCACACCTGAACGATTATCTCAATCCACCAGGAGAAGCTTTCCTGCTAGTGACACACTTGGGGATGGCAGAGATGAAGCAGTGCAGAAAGGACACAGGCGCCTTCCTGTCTCCTGCCCAACAACACACCAGGGGGAGTTTTACTCCTTTGTTTTTAAAGATAGAATGTTGTATAGGGGAGGTGGCAAACATATTTTCAATTTCTGCCTTGAAATTTTTGGTTTATTTCTAACGAAATCATTGCAACCCAAGCTAAGGTAATTTGAACTACCCAGAAAATGCCTGTTTAGAGTCACTTTCCCAGATACATCTTGAAACTCTGTTGAATTTTCACAGGGGGTGATGGGGAAAAGGTCCCAGAAATGACTGATTAAAAAAAATGCATTGAAATGAGCAGAGCAGTATGAATCTTCAGTGCTCAATGTAGTTATAGAGCAAGAATAAATAACTTACACTGCCAGATCAATCTTCCAATGTTGATTGCACTCACCTACTCTCTTTGTTCTGAATAATAGAAAACATCACTCCAGGCTCCTGCAGAAAGTAGACTAGGGCCAACAGCTCGCCAGCATCAAGGCTTGGGCCTGTCTGTAGAGCACTGGAGTAGGGTGACGGCCTCCTCTTGTGCTCCTCCTGCCCTGCAGGTGCTGCCTCCTGCTCAGTACTGCTTGATGCAGGTGTTACTTTGGGCTGGGGTAATTAGAGCTGCTCCATCTGCGTTTGTGGGTGAGAAGGGACTCCCCCAGCGCTGCGTCAGGAGCAAGACGAGCACACCTCTCCCTCGACAGCGCATGATCCCTGAGCATGGGAGCAGGTTTGTGTCTCATGACGGGTTGCAGATCCTAAATGCAACCAAAAGCTTTGTCTTGAATTTGTATGTCTATAAAGGCATTCGCTCTCATCCAGTTCTCTGGTGCTTGCTAGACTTTGAGCTCACACAATGATTCTGCTCTCTGTTGGGATACTTACACTACCTTTTTCTTATTGAGTTGCCTATTTTTTTTTCACATTTTGCATGAATGTAATTACCTTTGAAACCTCTTCCCTGCTCTGTAAGACCTGATTGAAATTTAGCCAATGGATTCAGAAGCTTGCACAGGAACAATCTGAAAACCCAAGGAGATAGTTACACTGCAATGTGAAATAATCCATAATCCATCTGAGATTAATTTATCCATAGCATTTACATTTTTTCCCTATATGTCAACTGATGCAACTTGGATAAATTCATTCCAAGCCTGTATGTCCCTTATTTTTCCTTTAAACCACCTGAAGAACCCAGCACCACCCTGTAGCTGCTCCCCCTCAAGACCTGCCAAGGACCCCATGGTGAGCAGAGCAACAGCCTCCACTCACGACCTTTTCAATTTGTCTGCAGAGCTAGAAAATGCAATTAAAATGAGAAACAAAAGGTCAGAAACCAGAAAACATGTGACTGAATAAATCTAATCTTTTGTGTGTGGATATTTAATCTCTTAATTGTTAAAGCTGTACCTAAATTCCAAGCATGGCCATAGAGGTAAATGAGAAACACAAATGTAGTGATCTTCTTCAGGTCTTCATCTTCCATGTGAGTTGTTTTCTCTCTCCTGCTTAGTCTAAGCTTTGGGTCTTATTTTGCTTATTTCCCTGCCTTCAATTGTGATAAACCTCTATGGGGTCCCTGTTTGTTTCACACATGGCTCAGAGGGTGGCAGGGAGCAGCCCATCCTTCACATCAATCCATCATAGGCCATGGTGAGCAGGAGCTTTTCTTTCTAAACGAAAAGCCTCCCAGTAACTGCAGGCTGAGATTAATAAAAATGACTAGTTGGGGCAATTTGGTGCTATCAGCCATCCCATATATCCCCCTTTTTGGAAAGCCTCTGACCTTTACTGTCTCTC